GTTGATATGGAAGAGAATCCAAAGAACAACATTGGTCTACTTGCCTACTCCGATTTAGACTCTGGCATATTAGGAATTAGCCAGAGTTAGTTATTAATTAATCTATCAAAATCTACTATATCTTTTGAATTTTTCTTATTGCCTTGTTAGTTACATTTGGATCAATATGCAGTTGTTTATTTAATTAACTCATAAGTTTTGAGTTAGCCAAAATTGACAGACCTTTTTTAATTTGATACGGTGGGAAATTTGTCTTAATCCATTTTTAAAATGTTTATTTGCCTTAACTCCAGGATTTAATGAGGGTAACAAAGTAAATAGCCGCTAACTTTGGTTTTTCAGAATTTCATAATACCTAGCTTTAATATTGAGGAAAATCAAACTCGAGGGAACATCTTTTATTATTTTTCAACGGAGAATATTGCACGTTGCATTTATTATCCAAATAGTTTCGCCTTTACCAGCAAGATGGAGCATAAAGCATAGAATAATTCTAAATATTTGAGACATTTTGTTTTATATTTTGTCCTGATGTATATAGTCACTTCTCCTCATCCTAAATTTAGCTAGATGAGAAGATTAATCGGGTTTCAATGAAGATCCTAAGATAACATTGTTAGGGGGACTTTCATTTCGCCCGTTTTCTTCATAAACTAGGGAGGATGTCTCGTTGACTGCGTAAACCTGGAAGTCATATTGGAGCAAAATGGCTGCAGTACAACGGGAATCGCTCGTCTTCTGATAAGTTCGGCCTTCATCACACCGAAATCATCATTATACGAAATGAAAGTCTCTCACGATAATAGCCAAACGTGATATATGGCTTAGATATAGTTAACCTTTATTATTTTTGGAACCCTCTATTGCTTATTTCTTCCCCTTAGTTAATCATCAGTCTAGCGCTGAACTTTTAGCCACTCGATTGTCCGAAGACGTTTCCCCTTCGCCTTCTTCAGGCGCTCTCAGCAGTGACCTGATAATGAAAACTCATCCTACTGACTTTCGCTCCACCTCCGACTCACTCACTATTCAATTTGATTCAACCTTCCACACGCCTATCTCCACTCCCCTTTCGCTTGTCGATGCAGAAATACCGCCTACTATTGTCTCTCATCATTTGCCAACTGAAGAAAGCAGCATCACCGAGGCTGGGACAGCTCTTCCTTGTGAATTGATTGGTCCTGCTCTCTCGCTTTATTTCCAACAAGGTCGTCCACCCACACCACCTTGTTATCGTCTTCGACGCCGACGTGGCCGCCGCAGCCATCGTCTCCGTGGGCCCCATCGTGAGTTACGGTCGACACGTCTTTATTCAACACTTGACCTACGAGTACCACGTTTCAGACCAGCTGCCAGCCTTACAGTGGAAGTTCGCCCCCGCCGCGTATTTGCTAACGCGCACACCTATCATATAAATGCGGTCTCCGTTAATTCTGATCAAGAGACTTTTATCTCGGCCGATGACCTGCGCATCAACCTCTGGCATTTAGACGTGACAGATCAATCTCTTAGTGAGTTATCTCGTATCTACATTCCTTAAATAAACTCTGGTGCACTCAAATTCTTTGTCGTGGAGAGAATTTTCGACTTAATTAAAAATCAACTTATGAAAGATAGCTGTTATTGCGAAAGCTTCTTACCATAAAAACGTGTTTAGTTGACCTAAATTACATTGCAGAACGTCTTTATGCTTTAGTTTGATATCATGCCTATTACATACAGAGTAGCTTTGTCTAGAATCAGCTTTATATTTGGTTAAAAACATGATGGTTATGAGGAGGCAGTAATATCACTTTATTTCATACTCCTCCAGGTACTTTTTTACCTTTTAGTTCGGATAAATGAAAAAAATAGATTATACTTTTCGATGTAGTATTCAGGTTCGTTGTCCATATCTCCTGATCGGTAAAAAATTCGCTTAAGCTTATGTTTCTACCTGAAATCCTTATGTAGTCAGCTCTTATACTTCTCCTTATCTAAACAATATTTATTATTTGAAGCAAAAAATTCAAAATTTGTTCTTAAGCTATATACATAATTTATTTTATAATCATTGATCTTATGGACCACTAGAATGGATCTGAGTATAATGGCGGCATACTTATACATGGTTACTTTTAATTAGGCAATCTAGAAGCTGGAGTTATGCTTTAAATTTAAAAGTTTTCCCAGCTAAAAATACTTATTTTTCATTTACAAGCAGATTTTTGAGATTACCATCAAATCATATATATGTGTAGAAGTTCTTTGACATTGTATTTTCAACTTGGTCATATTGGTAGGAAGACTTATAGGAACGCACATTGTCCTGAGTCCGTTGTATGCATAATTATTTCCAAAGTCGTACCGTGGACGTGGTAGATTCCCAGACGTTTCGCCGGCACCGTAGTCTGCATCGTCAGTGAGTTTTACCATTCGTAGCACCATATTACAACTCGTCAAAGAGACAAGTGA